TAGCAGTGAATGTTTCTTTTGTGTCTCTTCCACGGCACGTACACAAACGACAATCGATCTTTCGATTGCAATTCGAAATCGGGATGCAATCTGAAAGCCAAAAGTTTTAGCTAAATTCGGTAAAACCTCTCTCTCGTCGTCTCTAAAACAAATAAACTCTCCTAACTTGTCTACTCTCCTCTCTCTCTCGTCTTCTCGGCTTTTCTCGCTAACCCGGAGCAAATAAAAGGGGAAAACAAGTGAATAGTCTTGTGAAATGACCATTTGAAGGAACTTATTACGAATCAAGTAGATGAAGAAATCATCAAAACAAGATTTACGAAAATAATACGAACAAACAAACAAACATCTTCAACGTAGTAAAAGAACCTGAACATAACATTTTACTCGAGTCTTGAGAAAGACGTAGAACAATACGTACTATTTGACTTCGTAAAAATTAATTGGGTTACGAATTCGACGTCAACAAATTTAGCAGGATGAATCAAATATTTCCTTTAATGACGTTCTCGCTTGTTTAATTCTTACTAAACTTTACTATAGATACATCCACGACGTGCGACAACCCGCCAAGAATCACGGAATTGTCGTGTTACAATTTAAAATTTATCCACAACATTACCGGTCTTACGGGTATAATACGTAAACAAAAGAATGGAGGCCTTAAGACGGAAAAAGAACGTTGTGTGAAAAACAGTCTACAGGATTCTTTGGAATATCACTTTCAAAATAAGAAAGTACGAATCTCAACAGTTACAACGCAGGGAAACAGAACCACGAACATCACAGATACGGGGATATTCAATAAAAGAAGGAGATTGAAACAAGTCCGAGTGCGAGGGCGGGGGAAGACAGAGGCACGCGCAGGAACTAATATAAACGGGGGCGGTGACTAATCAAATAGGTTGACACAGGGGAATGGACACATAGTATAACACAATCGAGCGGAGGTACAGATAACAGGTCAAGCACTTATGTATGTGTTCTTTTTTTACTGGGATGCTATAGCGAATGGAGTGCCTGGAAAGTGCCTAGACCTACTATAACTAGTGCGTAAGATCAAAAAAGGAGCGTTTCTCACAAAACAAAAGGAATAAAAATTAATTGACGGACGTTTAAGGTCATTTAAGAAATAAAACTTTGCGATAGACTCGACTCAAACTTCAGCGACGTTAACTTCATAGTACGGTCTCAAGGTGAGGAACTGTGAAACCAACTAACTCAGGGATCGATATAACAGATCGTCAAGACGCCCTTATTATTATACGTTAGTTATACTAACAGTAGCCAGATTTAAATCTAAAGTTCTAACCACCCAACTTAGGTAACAAGTATTGGTGACATGTAAAATTGACTAAATTTACGCGCTTTGTACGAATACAGTAGTCTTAAGAACATTACCTGAACTGTAACGTGAACGAAACTGAGAGTTGGTGTCTGACCTGAACCCTGAACGAACTATGAACCAGCGGCATGTTCTGGACGTCTGAACGGAGATATGAACGTGTACATCCTGAATGAGGGGTGGAGACGGATAATGTCGACTTACGCCCGCCTAATGTAACAAAGTCGTTTTGCGGAGTGTTTGACTAATTCTTTCATGTTGTCATTTGTGTAACTTGTTCATTGATGACAGATACTACTGGCTGTTTATTGTTAGATATGGGTAAGGTAGATGACTCAGGTTCTTATCGAAGTAGCAACGTCGTGCGAGGGGGTCCAGTTACTTTATCGGCTGCTTGTTAGTTATAAATGGTTTTCGAGTTTCGTCGTGTTTTCCTGGTCTCTCTTTCCCCTCGTTCTTAACTACGTTAATTAATGATCCACCACGTGCTATTAAATCTCTTAATACTGCAGTAGCGGCTATTTGTAGGCTATTTTCATATAATTATTCGGGGCTATTATATGTTGATATAAAAACCCATTTTTTCTTTCTTTTTTTATGACGCTCACACCCACCTAACCGCTATCCCTCACGAACAAAAAGGAGCCGGGAGGGCCAAAACGATCATGACACCATAATCACCAAATCCTTCTCCCTCAAAAAGTGTTTTATGATCGCGTAGCGCGCATTTGAGTACGGACCGTACACCTGCATTTACCACCGCCGGCACTTCGGTCCTGTTCTTCATTCATTCATTCATTCATTTTCAAATCAAAGATTCTCGTCCGGAGGAGGGTCGTGCTCTACGTGTCTCACGTACGAATGTTTATATCGTCAGGTTTTGTTAATCCGGTTATACCGTGATTCACGTATATTAATTGTTTCGTATTGTACTGTCCTTATTATCCTTATTTTTGAATTTTTGTTATATGTTTGTAAACTTTGGTTCACGTTCTCCCTGGTCACTAAAGCTGTCACTGCCATGCACTGCACCTTAACTTGCCGATTCTGACGAGTTTGCGGACGAATTTATTCACGCGAAATCCAACAGGGCACAACTTGTCCAAACTCCCCTCCCTCGGCTAGAGTCCCTGGCCCCATTCAGGCAAGGTCTCAGATCCCGCCGGCGGAGGTTTGCGCGGGCCAGGGGGGAACAAGAAAATCAGCCCAGGACCCGTGACGGTCGTTGGGGGACCAGTCTCCTGGAGTCGCTTGCTCACAAAACCACACCACCCTTACTCGAGCGACTACAATCCGACCCCCGAACCCGGAAATCTCGAAACATACTCCGTATTAGTCCAGAACATGACTAGGACTTTACTTGACCATCGGTCAACCGTCCTCCGATTTACCCCCACTATACCCGTCCTAAAAAATCCTGGACCACTAATTCGCCCGCCGTCGCAAAACTTGTCGACGTCTGCCCACTTGTCTCCGAAACGACTCTGTCCCACTTTCACTTAATGTCATCAGATTGGCCCTACTATACTTACGCCACCTGTCGGGTAAAGTTCGAGACGGTACTCCAAATACCTGGAAAATACAACAACAAAAAAAAAAAAAAAAAACATAACAATTTTGTCAACGCCCAGTCACTCCTTTAAAAACAGGTAACAAAGACACAATAAAATTCATAAAGATAGGCACACCACACCTAAGAGAGAAGATTAGAGACAGACAGATCTTACGACACGTTATCAAATATAGAGAGACAGAGAAGAAATAAATCGACCATCCATTAAAAGAAGACGAGAGCGAGCGGGGGAGGTCGGGAGCTTACCGTCGATCCTGTCAGGTCATCCTACAATTAAAAGACGTCCACAAACCACTGCCAACTAAACGACACAAAGACCTCTCCCAACAGAAATCCAACAAATAAAAAACAAACAAACACAAACCCAATACTCCAAACCTCACCCACAGTACCCCCTCCTCCTACCACTAAATCCCCCAACTACTCCCCAAGCCCCAATAATTTAAAAACAACGACAGAACAAAAAAAACCTAAATGCTTCTCCTCTCCTCACTAGCAACCAGCCGCACAAACACTTACAACGACCAAACACTCATGACACAACCCCAATACCACCATATTCAACACAACTAAAGACCAATAAAACAACCACAGTAATAAAACAATCCAATAATTACAACTCCACCTGCCATAGTTGTATCTCACCTATATGTTAGCTCCAAAAGATCACATCCCATCCATCCTGATGTCGGGACTACTTCGACTGGTATCGTAATCTATCTCGGAATTATCCCTCGTATTACAATTCCGGGCGTCTACCTACCTCGCTCCCAACTCTCTACCTCTCGGGTACAACATTGCGGGTGTCCCCATCACCCTCAACCCCAGTCTATAAATACAACATATGCACCTTATCCACCTGGTAGCCGGATGACTCCTTACTGAGCAACGCGATGGACACACTCCACTATTTAGTAATCACGATCCCGCAGAGCGTGGACACTTAACGCGGTTGGGACTGAGAATTTTCCAGTATGAGTGTCGTATAGTACGACACCATCCGTCTATAGCTTCTACGTGCACACACTACCTCACACAAATAAAGAAACAGACAAAACTTATACCCTGACTCCACACAAAAGAACTCGTACGTACGTCGCGTCGACGTAAGTGGGCTCAGACGTCGGTACGTCCTACAGCAATCTCCTGGGACTCCTCACGTCAGGAGTCACCTTACGAAGCAAGCCTTGGGTCTAACTCTTAAATCACGAATCCCACTACATCTAACTAACACGGCACTTCATCTAGACAACTCAGAACATCTAGCAGCTAGTCGGAAAAAAAAGTTACAGAGACCTCTCCACTTTATCCCCGATCGGAACATCTTTATCCCAAAAACCACAATCACCCACCAGCATTCATCAAAACACACATCACACTCTCTCCCACACGTCCAAACATACCCAAGAAACTCTCTCACCCCCAGTGTTAATCTACCGCGCCCGCTGACTGAATCTTTATACCTTCCCTGTCTCGGTCTAAAGTTCTCTTTTACAATGTACTACCTTTGGGTTTGGCCCACCTTGGTTAGAGTCACACCACTAACGAAAGAAAAGATTCCAATAACCACTTACACCACCTCTTCACTATAAACACTCTCCCACACCCTAGTTAAGATCCACCTGACCTCTCCCGAATAAAGTATACACCTTTAACTTGCATAAGTTATCTACTCGTAAAGAACTTACTTCTTTATCACCAGTTTCTGACTCAAAGATATTCAAATACGTGCACCGACCCGTCCACACCACACATCCCAATCACCTACATTCCACATACACAAACCTTCACAACCGACCGAACGAAGCTAGGCGACGGAACAATTAGTATCTCTTATTATCACTTCCTATTTCACGCGAATCTAATGTAACACGGATATACACTCACTTTGATCTTACTCTCACCCCCAACCCTCCCTTCCGTTGTGGTGGTCCTGTCACTGATCTTTATGCTGCAGACCCTGCATACCGCTGTTCTCTTCTTATTAGCGTCATCGACAAAATACTCCTTGAATCCAAACTTCACTATTTTTGGAGTAAAGCTAGCCGCTGCCATGTTAACTGAGACTCCTGCCTTCTAGTGGTTTGCCAGGTTTGCGCGCATGGCGCTATAATCACCCAATCACATTTAAAAAAAAACTAAACGTAATATCTCACTACAAAAACAAACGCAAATATTTAATTTTAAAAAGTCAAGTCCTTTCAAGTCATCTGTCTCAAGCTTAAGTCAAGTCTCAAGTCATGAATACCAAGTCAAACAGTCAAGTCTTTTATCAATGTTAGTCAAGCAAGTCTCAAGTCCAAAAATATGCGACTCGAGTCTGACTCGAGTCATGTGACTGGAGTCCCCACCTCTGGTAATAGGCATGCCAACTTGATGCTCTGTTCACGGATGACTCGATGAGCATAAACAACTGTTGAGATGATGACCTTGTATGTGTGTATTTTTTCTTTCTTTGTGGGGGTCTGCCCCCAAAAAACAGGTTTAAGTCCTGAGAAAGTCAAATAAGACGCTGTGTAAAACTACACTGCCCAGCCAAAAAAAAGTAACCACTTTGATTTAACTAGGCCAGTAGGTAAGGACTTTCCACTGGATAATAACTGCAGCGATGTTTATGTTTGAGCTGAATACAAGTTTTTTAACCCTAACTGATGCAGTTAGTCACTTCTTTCATGTTTGTTTTTTCTGATGTAAAGTCAAGGTTGTAACTGTTTGCAGTAAAGTCGTGGGGCGCTGAACTGTTCCTTTGATTCTTTAGAATTTTGATATATGATAGTAATTACTTGTCTTTCAAATTGGAAGGAGGTTGAGCAAGCATCTTGAGGAACATTCATCATTAACTCCTCCATATAGTTTATTCAATAATAAATATGTGAATCATAACAGTGATTGAGCTCTGAGGAATAATATGATTGTTAATAGTATCATATTCTTTCAGACAAACATCGATGAGACAGTTAATTCATGTACTTATTGCAGCAGTCTTCATAGATTTGGTACCCCTGCTGGTCTAAGAGTGAAACAAACTCATTCAGTTATTGTTTTCTCTGGCCTAAGATATTCTAAAATATCATATTTGAAAACATTAAAAAAAACATAGATTTTTTAAAAATATCTTTTAAAAAATATTTTTCATTAGTTTTACCTGAATAACTTGATTCAATTGTATTTAAAATAACATTTCCAAAGAAATAAATCCTTCGAATCTGCCTGTTCAGTTTCTGTTGGAATGTGAAGGGTTAAATGCCGTCTCTGCGAGTTATGTGAAGACGGGAGAGCTTGTTGGTCCCTCTGTACATTCACAGAGGGCCCGCTATAGTAACTCACAACGCTAGGGGCTCTGGTAACTCAATGAGAGAGTAATGTCAAATGACAGTACAATTGACCAATCATATCTTCCCTCTAAATGGGTGGGCTTTATTTTCGCGGACTTTATGACAAGTTCCGTTTCATATCATATCGGCCCCTACACACGGCGGTGTGTGTTTTTGCTTGCCGGCAGGCATGTCTAAGCTAGACCAACAACCAATCACCTGAATCTCCCGCCCCGGACACACAAGCAGCGGTTTGATTGGCTAGAGCGTGTACTGGCATATGATTCGATTGGCTGACGCTTCCGTCGAAGCTTCAAAAGTAGAACATTGCTCAACTTTTGCAGCGAGCACCACGAGAAAAGCTACGCTTTGCTCCCACAATGCAGTTTGGTGAAGCGTGACGTCACCCCATTCAAAGTGAATGGGCAGAAGCGTTGAAGCTTCACTGTGAGCCTCAGTGAATGCATCACTGAAATATCATCAGAAAAAAAGCATAATTCATAGTCTATAGTATTTTTTTGTATGGAGTGTTTATAAACAATGTGCCCGTCTTGTTCCCCCCCCTGTGTGTGTTTTTCATGAATTCTTTTTTAAAGTATTTTCAGACAATATAAAAACATTTTCCCAGCCGAGTATTGTATGTCTTTTCTTTAAAAGTCCTCTCTCCTCCTTCCCTCTCCAGCTGGTTCTGAAGAGCTCCAAGATGCCTATGCAGGTGGACGGAGAGCCGTGGGCCCAGGGTCCCTGCACCATCACCATCACCCATAAGACCCAAGCCCTCATGCTGTACCACAGCGCCGAGCAGACCGACGACGACGACGAATCCAGCGCCTCTGAGACGGAGAGCCCCACCCCTCACGACTCGCCCAGGCCCCCGGGGCCCGCCTCCGCTCGTGCATGACCCCGCCCAAACATAATTTATCTGAAGGTCCTCTTTCCATAAGTTTCTTAATCCTTCACCTGCAGTGTATATTCATCTTAAATCTTTGAACAAACTTTATCCTCAAACTGTTTTGATGAAAATATGTGTTTCCGTATAATAATTTCATATATTTTAAGAGCGCTCGCAGGGGTTAGAAAGCTAGGTTCTAAAAAATTGCAGATTTTCTCTCTGCCTTTTATCTCCACGCTCCCCAATATTTGTAACTCGTAGATTAGCCACAGGCGGGACAGTCAGGGCGGGTGAATGTTTTAGAGAAACTCTCCTGTATTAATTATACTGTATTTACAGTTGAATGCCCAGTGTAGCCCTGAAGGTATCAGTGAGCCATCCTTAACAAGCTGTCCAGGTTCAAACCCCCCAAAGCCATGTCTAAATCCACAGCATTATAATAGGAAAAAACAGTGTTGTCAATTATGAAGAGGAGTTTTGGCTATATCCAAAGCTTTATGTCTATATTTTTTACTCCAGAAAGAGCACACGTTTACACAGCACAGAATATCTGTTTATTTCAGGCTCACAGTTATAAGGTTCTCCTGCATTTTTCACCTGTTTCAAGGCTTTGAAATGTGTTAGCCAGAAGGTCTCTGAATCTAAATGGAGCAAGGCCTCTGGTACAACTGCAGTGTGTTGTCAATCACTGGACATTGTTGTTGTTTTGTTTACTTCATGGTGCCCTGTCTCAAGTAGCTCCCAAAACTGCTAGATTGTACTTAGATACAGGAGCTACGGGAAACAGCCAACTTTTATTTTAAAAGTACTGCCAAGTAACTTGTCAGAGGATATTTTTGTGCGTACTGGTAAAACCTTTTTGTTCTTCCTCTTCTTTACATAGTTCCTCCAGTTTACATCCGTTGTGTTGCACTGTTTTCCACTTACACTGATATATACCTTTCACTGCTTAGGATGTAGGTTATATAAAGATGCTGGCTGTTGATGTTGCTGCCAAGTGATAACTGCTGATGAGATTAAGCTGTCCTATGTTGTTATTTACTTTATTCAAGTAGGCGTCCTGCATCATTTGTGAATTACCAATGGTCACCACAGGGTGGCAGGCTAAAGACAGTATGTTCTGTAGAGGGGTCCAGAAGAGTTGGTCCTTTACTTAAACCTCTACAGTTTATTAGTAATACCACCGGTTACTTGCATGTACTTCTCTGTGTACTGGTCACGTGCACATTGCGCTAACTGTCGAGTTTTACTAGTGGCATCTTTTGTCTTCTCTACATAATGTCTGCAAGAGGTATTTTGGGTTTCTGCCTATAGGTAGCCAACTTTTATGGAAATTAGTTAGAACTGCAACTACCAACTATTTTTATTATTGACAAATCCGCCCATTATTTAGAAAATTAACTGTTTAGTCGATAAAATGCTTGAAAACTGGTAAAAAGGTCCATTCCAGTTTCTGAATTCCAAGGTGATTTTAAATGTCAAAAACCCATAGATATGAACTTGAATAGGATATAAAACAGAGAAATTGAGTACATCTCAATCCTCAAAAGGCTGGAAACAGCATTTTTATTGAAATGTTGTTCAACAATGAATCAATTGAACAATGAATTGCTCATTAATTGTATTTCCATCAAATGTATAATAAGTTGAATTTTGCAATGAATTGATGCAGCTCTAACATTAATTTCACCCTCTGAGGTAGTCCTGTTTGGTGCAGAACAGTTGCCTGTAGCTTACAGCCACACCAGGAAAGCCTGAATGATGTTAGTTACTGCTCTCTTATTAACCTGAAGCTAACTGGCTACACATGATGCTGAACAGGGATCTGTTTTTGGCCATGTGATGCTTATGCTTTTGCAATATGCACCTCCTTGGCAGGTAACCAAGCCTCATGGTTTCATCACCCGATATTTGTTTGATGAATGTCTTATTGCTCAAGGACACCTGTATAACCTTTTACCTTATCATCCGTGTTTACCAGAGTTGTGTGTGTTGTGTTGCACTGAATTAGCTTAAATGTAACTGGGGTTTATTGGCAGGTTTGCAGCCACGCTAGCAGCATAGTTCTGTTTAGAACACTCTTTAGCGTTGAATACCTCGATAATTGTTGGAAGTTGTTGGATTTGTACAGATATTGCTGGTCCTCTGAGAATGAATCCTAATGATTGTGTTGTACTCAGTATTTAGTTAAAGCCACTAATAGGTCAACAATGTGCTTTACGAAAACAGTTCTAGAGGTAATTTCTCTCATCTTAAGATGTAGTTGGAGACTAATGTTAGATAGCATGCTAACATGCTAAATATCAGTCTAATACATATTTACTGTATGTATGACAGCACATGCTGACATGCTAGCTTACCGCCTTAATCAGAGGTAGACCTTAACACCAATGGTATTACTCCCCTAAGATTAGCATCTTGCAGTTCATAGGTTTGCTTTTGGCCTCCCTGTTTTGGTTGAATCTCATCACTCTTGTTTTCAGAAGCAGCAGAAAGCTGTTTTCAGCATAAAAAGTTCTGATAACCCCCACTGTATGTTCCCTGCCCTGCTCAAATGGCACACAGACAAAGCAGCACCTAGCTAGTGTGCTAGCTTAGTGGCAAAATACCGAGACATTTTCCCGGGAGATGCTACAGACCCAAACTGAGTTACAAAAAGAGAGAAAATTGCTGTTAGGGTTTTCAGGTTGCCAAAAACATTATTTTAATGTAATGTTGCTCAATGTCTGCTAGATGTGTAAGTAGGCTTTAGTTTGATAATTATATTTTGCACTGATACTTGATAAAGCCATAATGTGTCAAACGTCTAAGTTAATGTGCCTGGATGGGCGAAGCTTTGGTCTGATGAAAGTGGAGGGTAACCCTTTTGACTTATGTAAAGACACAGCTTTTTTGTGATACCACGATGACATTTTTGTGGAAAGGATTAACAATTGCAAGCTGTTCTTTTCATTTTCAAACCATCCAACACGTGTTTCCAGGCGTATACTGACACCTCACAAGCTTGCTGGCGTGGCTGAAGACGTTCCCTTGTTCTCTTGTTATGGGTTGAGGGACATGACTGATGTTTGTATACGTTTCCAAATCAAACCTTTCAGTTAATTATTTGTTAAATCTTGGCCGATATAGCAGTATTTATATAGAGTCCATTCATCATGGAAAAATTCACTGTGTTCTGTGTTACAAATTGCTTTCGTTAATAATTAATATATATTTGAATATACTTATATTTTCTGCGGTCAAATATGTGTCAAAAAGAGAACCGTAAAGGCTGATAAGAATGTGCCATTTATTTCACTTTGACTAAGATTTATTCTTAAGAGCAAGCCTTATGTGGCCTCTGCTGAACAGGAATGAGAACACAAAGGAACTGTTTTTGGGAGAAAACAAGCTTTTATTGGTAACAATCATGTAATCATAGCTGTTTACAAAAATAGGATTTGGTGAAATGGATTTTGACTGAACTGAATGTAATGATCTTTTGAATTGAAAGACATTCCTATAAATATTTTCATATATAAGCCACATGTGTCTGTGTTTTAAGTGGATGTATTAAAAATGACTGCTGCTATGATCTCTAGTTAGATGTCCCAGCAGCCAGAAGCTCACACTAACATTGTAATAGCGGGATATCATTTACATTTTACCACAGGTTGAGTTGAATGGCTTTGAAATGTGGTGTTCATTCCAATGTAATTGCTACCATTCTCCATAATTTACACATACACATATTCTCATTTAAAAATATACGGTACCTATCTATAACGATTATTATTCCAAGTGAAAAACACAAAATGCTTGCTCTGTGTATGTGTGTGTGTATGCCATTTATTTAAGCCTCACAATAGTGCCCTTCCCTGTCATGCGAAGTGATGATCAATAATCTCCACATTAGAAGTCATTTTGATAAGGCTGTGAGTAACTTGTAGTTGATTTCTCTGATGGATTCTTTGGTTGTTGTGTTTACTGGTTTCCTTTCATATTTGGCTTATATCCTCCTGGTGCATTGTGTGGCGGCCTTCTGTCCTGTTCTATAGAAAAATACAAAAAAGGTTTCTTTATTAATTCATTTGTAGTGTGAGAGTTTTGTCAAACTGAAAATGTCTGAAATCATGCTGGAACTAAATTCTCTAAAGCTTAAGTACAACGCGTGTAGTTATTACTGAAAACTGTTTTAGTTGCTCTTAAAGCCTCAATCTTGACACACAGGCTATTCTGGTTTTGCAAATCTATGACAAGGGCTGTAAGCTAGTACGATGTCTGTGACACTTAATAATTACTGTAGGAGCTCCTTTCAGGTTTTATGATTAGATTTATTTTGCTTCTACTGTGACATGTCTCCATGCTTTAATGTTCAAAAGCTCTTTATTTTTCTCATACTGCCTGTGCTGCAGCACCTCTTTTCACCCTCTGTCTGAAACCAGAGCCCAGTCTGCTCTGATTGGTTAGCTGGCCGGCTCTATTGTGATTGGTCAACCGCTTATGTCCCGCTCCACATCACATAATGTTTTGGAGTGCTAGCCAATAGAAACTCATGTGTTTCTTAGTGATATCACTATGTTACAAAAGTAAACAAAGGAGTCCAATGGTAGCGTTTCAGGCGGGGTCTCCTTAACAAACTTGGTCTCCTGTGTGGGCGTGACCTTTAAACAGTCAGGATGAAATAACACATTATTTCTGTATCTACAAGTTGTCCAGGCCGGGTTTCATGGAAAACATCCAAGAAAAACACACTGATCATCGTGTTCACTTTGCCACCACCTTCATGATAAATAATGTGAAAGCATGGCAAGTCAAAAATAAAAAGACTTACCACTGGCTACAGTGATAGGTATGTTGTTTAAAAACCAGATACAATAAAAGCAAATCTAGAGATAGAAAGAGTTATTATGGGGAGCAGAAAACTGTCAGAAAAAGTCCTTTACATTTTTTCTTAAAATGTACAAATGTTTCCTTAATGGGGATCATGCCCTTGGATACCCCAAGAGATCCAGAGGTCCACTTTCCATATTTTCTCAAAATCCTGTGGGAAACGGTAAGTATGCAACATAAACTGACATTAGTGATGAGATTTTTTTATAGAAAAGCGAAATATAATTACAGTGGAAATGGTATAGTCTCTGTCACTCCATAGTTTTGTTTCAGTGTCCTGGGTTTTATCAGCTACTCTCTGTTGGAGTTTCTTATCATACTGTTACCATATTGTGGGGCCCATAGTCATATATTGCCTGGTAATGGACATGAAACTGCATTATATTGCAAAAGCACTTTGTTTTTTGTTTAAAAATGTGTAATTCTACAATATATTTCCATTTGGAATGCAAACTTTAATATTTATTAGGTGAAATTATAGTTACAAGGAGTAAAATTCACAAAGGCACAGACAGCTCAGGGGTCCCATGTAGAACGCAGAAGAGTTAAAGGTATCACCTATAAGACCGTACCAAGAGTATGCAGCTTCATTCAGGTATGTGCTTGTGTTTTATGACCTAAGTTATGAAAATATGTGTTGAAGTACTGACACGGATGTATAATGTATGTAAACGTGCGACAAACCAGCGGTAATACAGATTATATGTATAGTATGTATAGATTATATGTATAGTACTTTATCTTAGTTTTACCATTGACAAGTGTGTCAGGTGCGTTACCTGCTAGCTACTTATAACACGTCTATGATAGGGCCAGGTTCTCCCACAAACAAAATCAGTTTTACAATTATATTGTTTTAAATGTTGCATTTTAATGCTACGATCTATAGCGTGTATTACTGTAAAGACTTTGCGATGAGCCCACATTTAGACCAAACGCTATTCAGAACATCACGTAATGTTGTGCGTAGACGGCTCTGCTAAAGATTCATCCCTAGTTTAGGTTTTATGTTCTGTGTTTAGATAGGTTCCTATTTTATTTTGATAGTCTTGTCTACCCTGATGTGTCTAAAGTACGTTTCCTGCCTTGTCTATTTTCCCGCTGTTGTGATTGTGTAAATTGTCTTCACCTGGTGTTGTCTGTCTAGTATATATAGTTCTCGTCTTCCCCTGTCTCGTTGCCAGATTGTCTTGTGTGTTCCAAGCCTTCCAGCGTAAGATCATTTTGTCATTGTCCATAGAGTTATCGTCCATAGAGTTAGATTAAGTAAGTAAGTAGTTTTTTGATAGTATAGGTTAGACAGTTTATTGAGTGTTTGTTTTGTTGCTTTATGTATTCAGTGTGTTATGACCTGTCTACATTAAAACACTTTATTTTGATACTTTGTCTCTGCATCGTGCATTTGATTCCACGCCCTTGTACAGCCTCAACACGTAAGAAAGTTTATGCGCGTTACACTCGGCCGCCTGTTCTGAGTTTGGAGCCTTCAAAAAATAAATTGACATCAGGAAACGGCTTAAAACCACTAGTTTTAACTACTTAAAACAGTTTGTTAAGGGGATTTTATACAACAGGGAACGGAGTCTCAAGCTGTATTGGCCTTGAGCGGTGAGTAGACTATTTCCATATTCATTTGATCTTCTGCTGCTTATTGCCTAATGTCGCTCTGCATGGTGTGAACTTGTTTGCTGCTGTGATCAGCGGTTAGCCAAGTGTAAGGCCCAAGCAATGCTGTTGCTCTCACGTTTTTTGGTTTTTAATGTGTGCCTTTACGTACAAGCTGCATGCATGCTGATATTTACCTGTGTTAGTGCCGAAGTGCACTATGCACATTTGCAAAAGAGGTTTGGATGTTGCTGTTTGTTTGTGCGTATTTGTGAGCGATGTGCGTCTCTACGCAATGTTAATGTAATTTATGCCGCCTCCACATGACAGCAAAGTGAAGTAAACTGATTTTATTGATGTCAATCTTTTACGTGAAACAACATTGTGTGATTGTATCTTACTCACTTGTCTGTTGTCCTGCCATGTATGGAGGATTCCAATGCCAGCCTGTGTGTGTGCCCATAAAAGAATTAATGGGCACATTAAAAGGCATGAGTAATGGCTGGATGGGTGGACGACCCACACTGTGGGACCTCGGCGCTCTTCTCTGCTTTGGAGGCTTGGTTACTTCGGAAACAGGTCAGAAGACATTTTGTGAACCCACAGTCATGGATTAAAATATTTTCCTTATTGTTTATTAACACTTCAAAGATTCAGTAAGCACAATACACACGTATTGACTAGAAGATATCCACAAATGTCTTTTTTTATGTGAATAAGAGCTAGGACGTGCACGGAAATGTGTGTGTGTTTATCCAACACATGAGATGTTTTATCATAGGAATAATTATAGAGATGAACATACTATCTCCCGGCTGAGATCCAGTACTTTTAGTTGCAGGTCCTGAGACAGTTTCTGCCTTTTGCTCTGTGAACATTAAATGGACTGCATTAGTACATCTCTGTGGTAATGATTACACGAGGGACAGGTTTTTTGAATACTCAGAATGTCAAATTGTTCCAGAACACCAATACGATTTGCATTTGATCTCGACCAAAACTAAACAGGATTGACTTAATTATCATTTCATAATACATCACAAAACACAAAATATAAAATGTACATGTATATTCACCTGGTTTAAGTGTCAGCAGTCGGGCCTCAACAGGCTGTTTGAGGATCTCTGCCAGGTGCTGCTTCAGAGCAGCAGAGCAGGCTTGTGATGCTGTCACCTTCTTAGTGTCCAGGTTGATTTGAGGCATGTGAGGGTCAAACTTTACAGCCTTCGGTAAGTTAAATGAAGCCTGAGAGGAACAAGGGGAAAACTAGTAATGAATGGATGAGTGTTTCCCCAAGTCTTTCAAAACATGGCTTTAGGTGTAGGGTAGATCACAATGCATTGCTCTTTTTTAACAATCACGATGATGCAAGTGCGTTTTGTATTTATAAAAACTGGTACAATGCCCGTTCAAAACATGCATGATCAGAACGGGCCAATTGCATCGGCTCTAGTATTGCGCTTCCTTGGGTTTCCTTTTTTTAGCAACCTTAATAACATATAAATTAAGTGGACTATAGTGGATAACTCAATTATGTACAAGCATTAGTAAGGATCCCTTTAATACACCACAGTGTGTACATACCGCACTAGTGTGAAGTTTATGGGATGAACCGTTATCGAGAAAAACAAAGAATAAACATGGAGACAGAGACTCCTTCCATCTTAGTTAGATGTCGTTTTTCAAGCTGAGGTATTAAAACTGCATGTTTGAAACAATCCAAAATATATTTAATTCACTATTAAATATCACAGAGAGCAAAAAAACAGAGAGCAAAAATCACAAGTGAAGATTTGAGGCTTCATGGTGATTTTTGCTTTAAAAAAATACTCCTTGCCATTTTTCAAATTTGTTGCTGATTCTTTTTTCAGTACTTGTTTGTTTTCTGTCAATCCTTAAACAGGTAGATACATAACTGTACGGTGGTCCTGAGGTGCAAGACACCACAGCATTTCAGAAAACACTACAGAATTTCAGAAAAGACAACAGCATTTCAGAAAACACAACAGGATTTCAGAAAACACAACAGCATTTCAGAAAACACTACAGCATTTCAGAAAACACAACATTGGACGCAAAGGGTATTCCTTAGGGAGAACACTTCTTGTTTGTGATTGGACAGAGTCAGCCAGAGAAGCACTGTTGTGATTGGTTGTTTTTGCTACCAGTCAAGAAATGACGCTTCGTGATTGGTCAGCACCAGACAGCGGAACATGTCCCAACACATCAGCCGTTAGCTGTTAGCACACACTCAGAGCTCACAGCTCCTCATATCTGTTCAGAAACTGGAAAAAAATAAACCTATACAAAACACAGACTGTCTATCTATGTCATGGCAAATACAGTCGCTGCTTTATTTATGTCTGTATGACGTTGTAGTGAGTGTGGACCTGTGGTGTGGACGAAGCAGCTACAGGTTAGTTTAGCCTGATCTATCCGATTCCCCGCCCCCTCTCCAGCGCGTCTTGTTTGAATGACAGGAGTAGGCCCCTACACACGGCGGCGAGCATTGTCGCTTGCCGGCGGGGGGGGGCTGAAACTCGACCAACAACCAATC